CTCTCAAATGTGTAAGTAAAACTGAAGGGATAGGTGGGAGAGATAATTTATTAAAATTGAGCTTAAAAAGAAAAAGAAAAAAAAAAATAAAAAGAAAAATCAAGAATCGATAAAGAAGAGAGACAAAAATTCAACAATGAAACTGATTTTAATAATGATAATGACTCAACTGAAGAATGGTTTGTTGAATATGATAATAGTAGTGACTCAACTGAAGGTTTGTTGCTGGGTCTGATTTTAAGAGCTCTTCTAAAATTAATCATAAAGTAAATAAGTTAAAATCATCTATCAAAATCATGGAAGATGTCACAAAATATTAATTTAACTTTACCAAGAAACTTTATTTGTCATTCAATGATAACAGCAACAGCTGATATCTAAATTATCAAATGTACAGCTAATAATGAATATTTCTGCAATCCTGGTTCTAGGTTTTTGTTTTGTTTTTGAATTCATTTTATTTTTGATAAGCATAAGAAACAATAAAATATGTTTTTAGGTGGTGTTAAAGCTAAAGAATTTCAATAAATACAATTAGAAGAGCACGTAAGCAAAATAGGCAAATTATGTCAAGAAGTATAATTTCAGAGTTTAAAACAAAAGTTAAATTAGATTATTTAACTCTTCACTGAGATTGGAAACTCATGAAGCAAATATCTGGTAAAAAGTTTGACTATTTACCTGTTTTAATAAGTGGTTTTCTAAATTGCCCGGAAGATAAAATGATCTATTAAACCTATTCAGTCTGGTACAGGAATTTGTCTGTAGAGGAATTATAGAAGATTTAGAAGAATGGGATCTTAAGAAAAATAAAATCAACACAAACAAATCATCTTTTTTTTGTTGGAAAGACAAAACGTCTTTCCAACAAAATTTCAGTTTTGACATATTTTAGGTTTAAAATGAAAATAATCAAATCAAATTCCGCAGCACTCAATAATGTTTTTATATAATTTTTTTTTATACAACTTATATTCTAATGTGTAAAGGGTCATGTTTCTTTGTAGACAAGTGAAAATTTCAAAAGTTTAAGTTTTTTTTTTCTTGTTAATAATATTTTATTAAAAATATTTTTTTTTCATATAACAGATTTTAGGAAGAAAATATTTTCTAAAATGGAATCTTTACTTCCAACAAGGAAGTGAAGATTCTATTTTATGTGATAACAAAATTTATATTGTGATAACAAAAAGTGCTGTCCATCGAGGACAACTTTTATACTACAAATTGATTCAATAATATTAAAGATGTTACCTGATGCACTGTTAGAAGAAAGCTTATGGAGAAGACCAGCATGCCAAATTTTATGAAAAGCTTTAGAAATCCCAAGAGCGATAGCCTTAAATTCTACACATCTATCTGATGCACAGTAAAACCTATCGGTTATTAGTGTTACCAAATCAGCTGTAGAACAAGAAGATTGAAATCCATATTGATGATCAGAAAGTAAGTTATTAGATTCAAGATGAGAGGTTAAGTTTTTGTTAATTAGAGACTAAAAAACCTTGCTTATGATAAGAAAAAGACTAATGGGATGGTAGTTAGACAAGTCATATTGCTTTCAAGAGTTTTTGAAAATAGGGATAACAGATGCTGCTTTCCAAAAAACAGTTTTGAAGGATAGACAGTAGCTCCTGAGAACACTTCTGCATGACTATATAAGGTATTAGGGTATCCTAATTAAAAACATTTTGGAAAAGTCTATGCTGCCACCCCCTTAATGTGTTCTATATCATAAAATAACACTGAATTTTTTGAATTTTTTAAAATTTTTTGAATAAAACTTTTTTTTAGGTCTTCGCCCCCCCCCCCTTGAACATCAGACAGGTCCCTATAATTATCAAAAAAATAGTTTTCAAAAAGTATATCACATTGGGTCTCAAAAGAAGCAAAATTATATAAAATTTTTAAAATAATCATTTTCTAAAAAAAATTATAATCAAAAAATCTTGTTAAATTCCCTATTTTTCATACTTAGTTAAAAAATGTCATTTTCTGTTCACTAAAATCTGAAATAATAATTTTTTTTATGAAATAATGATATTATTAAAGTTTTTATATAATTTCATGATATACTTTTGAAAAATATGATATACTTTTGAAGAACAATTTTTTTGATAATTATAGAGACCTGTCTGATGTTCAAGGGTCTTAATGCACCCCTAAAAATATTCTCCAAAAAATTTTTAAATTCAGTGTTATTTTATCATATAGAACACATTAAGAGGGGTCGCAGCATTTTTTCAAAAATATTGTTACTTGGGACACCCTAACAGGTATGTTGTCAGGACCACAAGCTGTAGAAGAGTCTAAGCAGGAAATCACTTTAGATACAGAAGCTGGAGTGATACGAATGTCAAGCAATGGATCAACCTGTTTGTTGGTTATATCAGGTAGAATGCAACTAGTGGAATCAAGAAATGATATTGATGAAAAGTTTTTAACAAACAATTTAGCCTTGTCATTAGGTGAGGTGACACAATCTGAACCATACAAGAGAGGTGAAACAACAGATTTGTCCTTGTTATAGATACTGTTAAAGATTTTCCAGAAGTCACAAAGTAACTGTTAGAAACTAAAAGTAACTTATTTTTACAAGCCAATATTTACAAAAACAACTATTAAATTTATATGCCATTTAAAATGATAATATGTCCTTAAATGACATATATGTCATTTAAAATGACGTATATGTCATTTAAAATGACGTATATGTCATTTTAAATGACGTATATGTCATTTTAAATGATGTATATGTCATTTTAAATGACATATATGTAATTTTAAATGACATATTTCATTTTAAATGACATACATTTATTTTAAATGACATATATTTCATTTTAAATGACATATATGACATTTTAAATGACATATATGACATTTTAAATGATATATATGACATTTTATATGACATATATGACATTTTAAATGACATATATGACATTTTAAATGACATATATGACATTTTAAATGACATATATGACATTTTAAATGACATATATGAAACTAACTTGTTTTTAACAAATTATATTTTAAAAATAATTTACAAAATTTAACAAGATTAAATTTGTTTAAAATTAGTAAAGGAGCTTGTATATCAAAAACCAGTGATGAAACTTCACTGATAAAAACTACTGATTATATTTTTTAATTCCGAATCTAGAAGAAAAATAAAAAAAAAATTATATATAAATAATATTTTTAAAAATTAATATTTGAGCATTTTTCTCAAACCATGTATCTAAGTATCTTAATTTCAAAGATACCTCAATGAACATATTGTGGTATCTTTGGAATCGAGATATAAAAATCTTTAAAATTTTTTTTTGTAAATATAACTTAATAGAAAAAAGTTACAACAGGTATTTGTACTTTAAAATGTAGGTGGTTTTTCAAACAGCCATAAAATTTTTTTTGTTAAAATAGCTGAAAATTTTTGTTAAAATAGCTGAAAAATAGCTAAAATAGCTATTCATAATCTAACTCTTCATAATTTGAACACACCTTATAGCCATTTAAATTCCCTTGGGGTACTTGTTGCACTTACACTTACTTGTATGCTGCCAATAAAACCCTGAAAAATCATTGTTTATATTGAAGCTTTCACCCAATCCAGCAAAAAGCAATAATCACAAATAAATTACATTCTTTCTGGTCAAGATTCATGGTAAAGCACCCCAGTCTAACTCAAAAGAGACAAAGGAGAGTTTCTATGAACCGTGCTTTAAACTGCACTAGAGAAATGGGTGAAAGTCATTTAAATGAAAATACAAGAAATTAAGAAATGAAGAACAGTGAAAAAATGATTAAATGAAGAACAGTGAAAAAAATATTAGGAGAGATATGTCCATTATGGACAACAAAAGTATCTTTAATCAAAGCAGCATAAGTGGTATTGCAGAGTTAGCTCTAAATGTTAACTGGATGCAAAATGATAAATTTGAACAAGCAGCAAGATGTATAGCATCTATTCAGTCTATTAAGACCCCAAAAGACACCTCTAAAAAAACCATAAAAGAAACTCAAAAATATGGATCAATGGAGAGGGAAAAGGTTTTAGAAGCATTAACTAAAAAAAAAGAAAGATAAAAAGATAAAGGACGAGAAGAAGCAGGTGAATAAAAAAAAGTGCAATAATAAAAGTACAATTTATAAAATACAAACATCAATGTCAATGTAAAGGAAGGTGTTGTCTGTTAGGCTACAAGTAATGCCCTATTTGCAATGATGTTTTAAAATCAGTTTGTAGCAAGCAATCCTACAAAGTTGATGGTATTAAACCAAAAATGAAGTTTCTGATTTGATCATCAATATCAACTCATTTTTATGAACATTTTTATTTGTTTCTCTGATTAAAGTTGTGTTTTATTCATTAATTAAAAATTTATTTGTTGTTTGATAAATAAATCATAAAATTAAAATGGACAATGAGGAAAACCAATATTCACCTTAAAATGTAGTATTTTTGATCATAACTAAAACAGCAATAACAAAACCTTAAATTTGTTACTGTAGTCCTTGTACTACTGATTATTTCCATATATAGTCTTTATAACTTAATTCTTTGTTTTAAATCTGAATTTTATGTTTTAAGTGAAAATATGTGTTCTAAGTTTTAGAAAAAATACAGAATATCATCAGTTGTCTGACATTAAATGGACACTTTCAAAATATATTCTTTTATGCCTTGGTTACTTCCTTCTATAATATAAACCTTATTCCAATTGAGTTGAAAATATAAAACCAAAAATCAATTACCAGCATTTTTAAGGTACACATACATTTTAAGGTACAAATACCTGTAAAAGTTTCTTTCTTAAAAACATTTTCTTCCTGAAATATATTTTATGGAGAAAAAAGTTTTTTAAATAAAAGCACAAAAAAAATGGTTGCATTTTAACAACAAAAACCTCTATAATATAAATATATAACTATAATTATAATAATAACATGATATATTAAAATAAATTAAAAATGAACTAACTTTAAAATATTACCTTATTAGCTATATAAGTTCCCTTGTTCTCAATTATAGAAGTTTGAGTTGATATTGATTTATTTGCTACAAGCTGCAATAGTAATGAAATTATATATATATATATATATATATATATATATATATATATATATATATATATATATATATATATATATATATATATATATATATATATATAATATAACAATAAGATTATTTAAATTACAATTGGAATAAATAACTTTGAATCGTTTATCTTTTTACTAATGTTTTTATAATGTAATATAATTTTATATTTATATAAGTATGTACTTTTTATAATATTTTATAATCTATTATAAAAAATACATAATTATATAAATATAAAAACATATGTATACATTATTCATGAATATCTTTATAAAATATTAAAAATCATTAGCAGGGATTTATTACTTCATTTAAATGTGCTTTAATAATATAAAAACAAAAGAAATAAAGATTAAAGTTATTTAATTCAAATCTACAAAGTTTTTCTTTTTTTCTTCTCAACAAAATCATTCTTTTTTTCAAGTGAATTAACTTTAATGATTTTTATATAAAGTGTATTAAAAAGACCATCGCTGTTTAAATATGTCGCTTAGAAAATTTTTTTTTTTTTTATAATTTTTTTATTTTACAACTTATAAAACTTCCAATGATAAACAAATCATTAGCTACTTTATTTATAAGCATTTTGCTGATATAAAAATGTTAGTAAAGATAAACATGTCAGTTATTTATTTTTAACGTAATTAAAACCCAACTTTTTCAGCGCATATGTTAAAAAACTGTGGTTAAATCGTCAAAACAAAATATTATTTGTGTGGTTATATAAAGACTTGAAATCGCACGCCTTCCTGGCGTATATATATATATATATATATATATATATATATATATATATATATATATATATATATATATATATTTATATATATATACACCTATATATATATATATATATATATATATATATATATATATATATATATATATATATATATATATATGTATATATATACACCTATATATATATATATATATGATATGATATAGTATATATACATATATATATATATATATATATATATATATATATATATATATATATATATATATATATACATATATATATATATATACATATATATATATATATATATATATATATATATATATATATATATATATATATATATATATATATATATATATATATATATATATATATATATATATATGATATAGTATATATACATATACATGGGGAATTCCACAGCAGAAAATGAAAAAGTAGTAAAATTTTATTCTATTTTTTGTCAAATTTTAGCTAATGAGTATTGATGTAGACACATGAAAGTTTATTTAAAATATACCTTTAGTACTAAAACTATTTTATTTAAGTCATTTTGTAAAATGTTATTTTTATTTTTTATATTTGGATAATCCGAATTAATTTAGTGTAAAAATGGAGCTAAAATTTTCAATTTGTTGTTGATCAGATTTTATACTTTAAAAAATATATATATATTTCAAGAAAATAACGAAAGAACTTTTGCACTTTTCCTGTAACCTAAGTTAACAAAAACATGATAAAGTTTTGTTTTTTCTAAAATTTAGTTAAAAAACTAAAATTTTTTAATGTATGCAAAAGAATATTAAATTTACGTTTTTACATTTAAGTTTTAAATAATGATGCTTAGTTAGCACATTTCAGTTTTAAATTTGTGTAAAGTAAGTTAAAACTACATGCATTTAGTAAAGTTCTGGCACATTTTTGTAAAGTTTTTGTTGTTCACAAAATGAACACTTTTTTACATAATTCATATTTGGTTATTATTTTTATTTTAGTAAACAAATCGCTTGTAAATACAATTAAGGGGGTCATCCATAAAGTACGTCATTCTATATTTGTCAAATTTTAACCCCTGTCACAATTTTATCCTCCTAGCACAAACAATCACATATACCTGCACCCCCTCTCTCTTTTAAACTGTAATTTTTTATCTCAAAAATTTTTTAAAAGATTTAAATCTAAATACATTTAAAAAATTCAACTTAATGAAAATGAAACTTAAGAAATGTGGGTAAAATTTTAAGCAAATTTCTTTATTTAAATGACTTAATTATTATATAAGTATTAATAAAGTTGTCATACTAAAGTAATTTTTTAAAGTTGCTCTCAGTCTTGTAAATAAAATTGTTTTCGATTTGACAACCTTCATAAATGTTATGAAATATCACTAAGGAAGAGTGCCATCAGTATTTTAAAAATACCTTTGTTAACTACTTTTGATTAATGAGTTTAATGAATGAGTTTAAATGAATGAGTTCTATGAATGAGTTTTGCAATTCTTTTGTTACGTAACTCTAAAAAATCTAACTCCTAATAATAGATATAAAAAATCCACAATAATAATTGCTTGGTAACATAAGTGTTGTAATAAAAGTTAAATATATAGTATCAAAAAAACAATTTTATTTTCCTTAGCCAGTCACCTCTGATGAATTTTTATACATTTTATAATTGGTATAGAATTCTCAACAACTTTTGAAAATTTCCAATACAATCCGCTTTACTGCTTTGCAGAAACCTGACCTGTTGAAACAATTTTTTTTACCTTATTTTCTGCATAACATAAGTTAAGTGGCATTTTCAGTAAAAGTGTGCCCTCTTTTGGCAAGGCTCAAATCTTTTTGGCTTATTTTCATATAAAATAACTAAAAATTTAATTTACAGTTGGCAACTATTTAATTTAAATTGGCAACTATTTGATAAAGTTATTGCTCATGTAATGTTAAAAATGGAATTGCCCATATAGATATATATATATATATATATATATATATATATATATATATATATATATATATATATATATATATATATATATATATATATATATATATATATATATATATATATATATATATATATATATATATATATATATATATATATATATATATATTTACATATATATCAAGCCTTCTCAGGAGACATGTGCAGTCACACACTTTATATGACCATGTATATAATATTTTGTTTTGACAACTTTACTCCTTGCATGTTTTAAAATAGTGCGTTTAAAAAACACGTTGAAGAAACAAATGTAAACTTAAACTAAATTTTTTTTTCAACATCTTCACTTCCAACAAGGCTGCAAGCAACCACTGTTAGAATTAGAAGATTCTGGTAGAGAAAAGATGAAGTTTATAGAGCAAGATAACATTTAACAGACAACTTAAAAGATAGCAAATTATATGAATCAGGAAAACAAGATGAAGGGAGTGAATTCCGAAAAACTGATGTTCGAGGAAAAAAACTACATTAAACTCCTGCTTATTTGAACTGGCATTTATTTGAATTTCCGGCATATTTAAAGTAGTCTTCCTTCCATTGAATTTTTTTTAACAAACTCATGTAAATATCCATAAGTTATTTGAACCTGCCGTTATTCAAAATTTTGGTTAATCAAAATGATTTTTTACTCTTCTTGAAAAAATCCCCATCAAGTTTTTTTGATTGTTATCATTCCATTGCATTTCAAAATCTAACATTATAGAACATTATTAAAATATAACAAACGAAATAATGTTATTAAAATATAATTAAAAAATCAAACACTTTGCCGGTAGAAATTTCCACATGGCATTTACACAAAAAAAAACAGTTCTAACAATCAAAGAAAAATATTTTTCTTAAATGTTTTTAAAGATTTAAAAAAAGGACTAAAACAAATGTTGCAAAAAGTTTAGTGTTCCTTAAAACACTTTAACTTACTGGATTAGGCATAAAGAAGACATAACCAGCGAGTATGAGTCTGTTTAATTTGGAGACAAGATACACAAGTTATGTTAGGGAAACCATGATTCCATTGATAAAGTTGTATATAAACTATTAAAAAAATGCACATAAACAAAATGTACCGATTGGTGGACACATCTTTAGGGAGATAGCTTTAGATTTGTCTTGTAGAAGTGTTAGAAGAAGCTAGATTTGTCTTGCAGAAGTGTTCTCCGGAGCTGTCGACTATCCTTTCAAAACTATTTAAAAAGTGCTTATCAGAGTCTTGTTTTCCAGCCTGCTGGAAAGCAGCATCTATTACCCCTATTTTTAAAAATTCTGGAGAGCGATCCGATTCGTCTAACTACCGTCCCATTAGTCTTCTTCCTATCATAAGCAAGGTTTTCGAATCTTTAATTAACAAACACTTAATCTCTTATCTCGAATCTCATAACCTAATTCTGATCATCAATATGGATTTCGATCTTCTCGTTCTACGGCTGATTTGCTATCAGTAATAACCGATAGGTTTTATCGCGCATTAGATAAAGGTGGAGAGGTTAAGGCCAATGCTCTTGACATTTCTAAGACATTTGATAAAGTTTGGCATGCTGGTCTTCTCCATAAGCTTTCTTCTTATGGTGTATCTGGAAACATCTTTAAGATTATTGAATCCTTTCTTTCCAATCATAGTATAAAAGTTGTCCTTGATGGACAGCACTCTTCTTCTTATTCTGTAACCTCAGGGGCTCCTCAAGGTTCAATCCTTGGCCCTATACTCTTTTTAATTTACATTAACGATCTTCCAGATATTCTCACATCTAAGGTGGCATTGTTCGCTGATGATACTACCATTTATTCTTGTCACGATAAGAAGCCAACTCCCTCTGATTGCTTGCAGGGGACATTTGAGCTTGAAAAGGATCTCACTTCTGCTACAGCATGGGGCTCACAGTGGCTGGTGAACTTTAATTCAGATAAAACTCAATTTTTTTCGGCCAATCGTTATCGCAATAATTTAGACCTTCCTATATTTATGAACGGTAATGTACTTGATGAGTCATCTACCCTTCATCCTCTAGGATTAACTCTTACTTCTGATCTTTCTTGGAAACCTTATATCAAATCCATTGCAAAATTAGCATCTGCTAAAGTTGCTTCTCTTTATCCAGCTCGACACTTTCTTACTCTGGATTCTATTCTCTATCTCTATAAATCTCAAATCCGACCTTGTACGGAATACTGTTGCCATATCTGGGGCGGATCTTCTAATGATGCCCTTTCTCTTTTAGACAAGGTGCAAAAACGCATTGTAAACATAGTTGGACCTGCTCTTGCAGCCAACCTTCAACCTTTGCCACATCGTCGTAATGTTGCTTCTCTTTTTCTTTCTCTCGAAAGAGCTAGCGCCTCTTGTACCATGTACTTAAATTCATTCTCGTGTTACTCGTCATTCAATTAAGTCTCATCCTTTTTCTGTTACTGTTCCTAAGTGCTCCAAAAACTCTTATTTGTCTAGTTTTTTTCCTCGAACATCAGTTCTTTGGAATTCGCTTCCCTCATCTTGCTTTCCTGATTCATATAATATGCAATCTTTTAAGTTATCTGTCAATTGTTATCTTGCTCTACAACCTTCATCTTTTCTCTTTCAGTAACTTCCAACACTAATTAGTGGTTGCTTGCAGCTTTGTTGGAAGCGAAGATGTTAAAAAAATAAAAAAATTTTTTTGCAAAAGAACTCAAAATTGCAGATTGTAAGGCTTCAGAAGGGTGGCTTGATCAGTGGAAAAATAGACATAATGTTGTTTTTCAAACTATTTCTGGCAAGGAAAGTTCATGTACAGAGGAAAAGACATCAACTTGGGAGCAAACCCATTTGTCAACTATCCTCTCAAGGTATGAATTAAGGGATATTTACAATACTGATAAGTTTGGTTTATTATTAACAACCTCCGAAAAAAACCTTTTATCTAAAAGGTGAACAATGTGCAGGAGGAAAATGGTGAAAAGCTGCTTATATTTATAATTGGAAAAGCCCCAAAATCCCAATGTTTCAAAGGTGTCAAAAGTCTACCCTATCAGTACAAGTCCCAAAATAAATTCTGGATGGACTCTAAAGTTCTTACTGATTATATAAGAAGGCTTGACACAAAGTTTAATACTGAGGGTAGAAAAGCTGTTCTAATTATAGATAACTGCCTAGGTCATCCTAATGTTAACAATGTCAAAGCAATTGAACTAGTATTTTTACTATCAAACACAACCTCCAAAACTCAACAAATGGACCAGGGGGTCATAAAGACATTGAAGGCCTTTTATTGCATGAATGATGTGAGCCCCAGTTCAAACACTAGGCAGGCATCTTGCAAGAAATACAGGTTGCAAGTATAAATAGTGAAGATGATCATTTCAATTTGCTTAAAGAGAATGTTAACAAGCTTAGATCACATGGTTTAGTAGACAAAGACTTTACTGTTGAAAATTACGTAAACATAGATTTTGATATTTGTACAAGCGAAGCATTTGCTATTACAGATTGCAAAATTCTGGATTCCATTTTAATCAACGATTGTGCTGAAGCAGATGAGGAGATAGATGAAGAGCCAAATGATTTGCCTGGCAAAACGTCAAAATTATCAAAGATTGCATGTGCAATAAAGTTAATTGAACGTTGTTTCTTTTTGAAAATAACGTTGAAATCTAACATCCGCTGAGCCTGGTATCAAAGATGTTTAATAAACATTCTTTAGAAATAAAAAAGAAGACAAAAATAGAGGATTTTTCAAAAATTATAAAGATTTTATTTTTTTATTTTAAATTTGTTTTTTACTCCAAAGTGTTTCTTCTTTTTTACTCTCTATTTCTGTTAAAATTTGATAGTAACTTGAAATAGGTCACTTTAAAGAACTTTAGAAATAAACAAACTATAAACTGGAAAGAGAAATAAAAGCTAAAAAAAATACAAAACTAAACTAAAAAAATAAAAATAAGCCAGAAAAATTAATAGCATAAAATTAATATATGTTTTTATTTTTAAAAAAATGCTTCACTTCAAAGAATTTATAAAAAATTCTTTCAAGGTTATTTAATCCAAGTCTAATTACTTCGAAAGATAATTATTTAAAAATTTGAAACTTTGATATTTTTTAATGTCTACAAACCAAATCAAACATAAAAATAAAAACTTTAAGTTAGTAGGATTTGAACTCTCGTCTAATGCTGATATAACAGTCGTGCCTCATAAATGATGCAATAAATCAATCTTTGCGCTAAATCAACATGGTTATATTATAGGAGATATTATTAGGATTAAACTATTAATTTAAACATTTTTAAATTAAAAAATATGTTAGTTTTATGCTTTTATTTTCTCGGTCTTATCCTTTATTTATCTTATCATTTATTAAGTTTGTTTCTCTTTTTAGTTTATAGTTTGTTTATTTTCAATATCATCTTATATTAGTTTGGTTTTTTCAGCGCATTTTTTAAACATGCAAATTATATGCAAAAAACTGTGGCCAAGTTGTCAAAAAAATATTGTTTGCATAATCATATAAGGCGTGCGACCAATCAAAACTCCTGAGAAGGCAGGATATATATAAATATATATATATATATATATATATATATATATATATATATATATATATATATATATATATATATATATATATATATATATCAGGCCTTGCGATAAAGCGTCAGGTGATGTGAATTTTACGTCGTCCAAGAGCGATTTTGCGTGTAGCTAGGGCTATTTGCGTCGAGCAAAAAAATTTTTGTTTGAGTATATTTAAAGATATTTTTGAGCGGAATTTTAATGAAGTAATTTACGATTATTTTACAGTTAATAAAGTATTTTAAAAACCGCACGCAGTTGATATAAAAGTTTGAATTAAAAAAAATTAAATATGCTCATTATTTACAAGTAGAAAAAATTCAGATTAAAAAAAAAAAGTTTAAATCTTTTAAGCTAACATTTTAATAAAATTATTCAGCAATAGCAAAGTTGTCGATAAAATTGAACAAAAATACTTGCTTTTAGTTTTAGATTTTAAACTTAAATAATTATTTTACGGGGGTTTGTTAGGTTTCAAAATTATTCCATAGATTTAAAAATATTTATTAACTGTTAGACGTATTTAAAGTATTTAAGAGTAATTTCGAGGAAACATTTTTAAAATTGGTGAGCGCAAATAAAAAAAAAAAAGGATTAATATTAAAATGTATTCTACTTGATTCAATAAAAAAGTACAGTTATTAAAATTTTTGTAAAAAGTAACTCAAAAAAATTACTTAAATAATAACGATCGCTTTTATGTTAAAAGTTACCGAAACTCAACGAAGCGTGCTCAAGAACAGCTGTTGAAAAATAGAACGTCAATAGTTTTTTGAATAATTTTTAATAAAAATTTTTAAGAATAATTTTTTCGCTGAAATATTTCTTTTATACCTATAAGATTTTTATTCTAACATTTTATTTTATTTTACTAGAAATAAAATTCTTTGTTAACATTAAAAATCTATTCAAAACGTTCGTTTAAGTTTTTTATTAATACGAGTGATTGTGCTTATCAACCGCTTTATGAAAATAAATAAAAATAAATATTATATAAAATCGCTTGTAAAAATATTAGCTATTGCACAGTTTTTAATCGTACAATATTAAAATTTCCAGTTTATTACTCGCTGACTTTTTAAAAAGAAAAAGTAATTATTTGAAAAACTTTAAATTACATATTTAAGAAAAAAAAAATCAAATATTAGCATATTTTATAATCTTTTTTAAATTTAAGTTATAATGTTTTTTATACGTTTAGTAAAGACAAAACGTGTCAAACGTCGAGAAAATAAGCAAATGTTTTTACATTTTAAAAAAAAGAAACATTCCAAAACATTTTTAAATAATAACATTTCTACATTAATGATTTAAAGTAGTTTTGCCGTAATTAAGTAAATTGTCGAAAAATATGAAAAGCAAATAAAAAGAATTTAATGACGTCAAAAATCACGTTGTGCTTATGTGTCGCGCAGTTTTTATTCATCACAAGGCCTGATATATATATATATATATATATATATATATATATATATATATATATATATATATATATATATATATATATATATATATATATATTCATACATATATATACATTTTTGTTAAAAATAAATAATTATTTTTCTACCCAACTAAACATTAGTGTTTTTCCAGAATCGCAAAGTCCAAGAAGGAGAACAGTATCACCAGCTTTTCTTCTGAGAATAAAAAAGAATCCAGAAACTAAACATTTTTAAAATAGGCTTATTATTGCAAGTTTAAAAATTTAAAGAATATATATATATATATATATATATATATATATATATATATATATATATATATATATATATATATATATATATATATATATATATATATATATATATATATAATTATCTTAGTGTATTTAGGCTGGCACTGTCCAAATATATTTATTGAAAAAAGTTTTTTTGCCATAATAAAACATTATCATATCTATCTAAACAATACCTACCTATATATACAAATAACTTTTGATTAAGGTCTCTCCCTTGAATTAGTTTTATATTATTTGCATTGCCTATTCACAAAAATAATATTATGTTTTTTATGGTACTGTAAGTAGTACTTTTTTATACATATAAATATACTCAATATGACTAAAAACATTTTAAGGGTCTTGAGAGGAATAACATAAATATTTAATGAAAAATTTTTTCTAGGGCATAAATAAATACTTTCGATCTTTTTCGAGAACTTTTGATCAGATTGATAAGGTTTTTTTTTTCTCTTCTAAAAATAGTATAATTTACATTTAAAATTGGCTGATATTAAGTTACTACGCAGTGTGGCATTTTTATTTACATTCATAGTAAGAAATATTTATATTCAGAACCAGATTGATATTACTAATATTTTAGAATAAAATAACATGCTCTTATGTTATAACTACAATTTTACTTATCAAAAACCATTTATTTCAAATATATAACAAAACTTTCAAGAAGTTTCAGCCATTTTTTATAATTTATGTAAAATATTATATGAGTGTGTGTGTGTTTTGTTTCTTTATTAAGGAGGAAAGAGTGACAGTTTTTTTGCTTAGACTGGTGGAGCTCTTGCGGAGCTCCTGAACGCAGAATGAATTTTGTCCACAGAAAGCAGTCTGTTCTATTTTTCATCTTCATTGTTGTAATTATCAACATACTGTTGCATCATATCGGTATGCTTCTCTCCGAACTTTATTTGCATATTTATCAAAAACTTAAAACTAAGATTAAGAAGACCAGTAATCAAATAAGACCAGTAATCAAGAAGACCAGTAGCAGTGGTGGTAATCAAGAAGACCAGTCGCTCCCGTCACGTGAAACACGCTTGTTCATGGAATATTTATAAACTGCGAGGGCGATAAAAAACGCTTGCTAATTTAAGTTACGAGAGTAAAAAATCGCACTCGCCCTAAAAATTTGGGAGAGAGAAAACTAATTATGGTTTACTTGATTTTATATTAAACTTTTTTTATAAAAAGTTTTTGTTAAAGATTATTGTTTAATTAAATAAAAAAGTTTGCTTATTGTTAAAAACAAAATAATCTCTATTCACATATCTTTAATTACATTTTTTCAATTGAGCTAAAATGTTAAAGTTATACTTCAATTAAAAAACTTTTTCATATTAACTTACGTCATTCTGTTGAAATAAGAGCGCAAGTTTCTACAAACAATGAATGGAGATTTGTGAAAGAGACTTTTTTATATAAAATGTTTACAGCAAACATTTAACGAAATTAAATAAATTTTATTTATTTGTATAACTTTATTAATAATATTAAACTGTGTAATAAACATAAATTAACTATGAGAAACGTTGTTAATTTAATTTTTTAAAAGCATTTGCTAAAAAGCATATGTATAGTTATAAAAGTTTTTTATTTAATTTCGAAAAAAATATTTCTTAAAACGTTGTATTTTGAACGGAATAGTTTGCTTATCGTTAAAAACAAAATAATCAATATTCATTATTTTTAATTGCATTTTGGCAGTCAAAGTAAAACATTTTAAAAAATTTGTTTTCTAAATGTTAACCTAAAATGTTTTCGGCCAAAATTTAATTAAATTTAAAAAGCTATGCTTAAGCTAAAATGTTATTAAAATTATTACTTTTATCATTTATAATTTAATAATAATTTTAATAATTTAATAATTTTATTAATTTATTAATTTTTAATAATTTTATAAATTTATTTGAGAGAAAATTTTAAGAAAAGTTTAAGTTAGTAAAAAGGTTTGCTAAAAAAATTATAAATTTCTATTAGCGTTAGCAACGAAAAAACATTAAAAAACATTATATTATAAGTTTTAACGAAAAGAAATCATTATTTCATTGTTTTAATGACGTGAAAACATTACAAGTTTATATTTTAATTAAATTAATGAAACAATGAAAAAAATGAAAGCTTATGAACTTCTTTCAAATAAATTCGATGTAATAATAATAAAAAATTGACTGTAGTATTAAGTTAAAGATGAAGACAATAAGAAAGATAATACATAAAAGATAAATTTATTCTTTAAAACAAGATCATTAAAAACTAGGTGGGAAAAAAAACACAATCAGATGGGATCAAATAATAAATTAGTATTTAGGAAGTTGAAAGAATTTTAAATGTTTTGTCAGGCAGTGTGCTGTTAAATAATAATTTTAAAACATTTATCATCTAAAGAACACTGTATAATACATATATTTTGTTATTCACCTCCTCAAGGCTGAGAAGGCCACTACAGACGAGGAGGCTACTTAATAGTGGTTATAACCCTCTCTCAACTCTATAAATCCAAAACACGAACCTTGACAAACAAGAAACAAATTCATATATATATATGAGGCCCCTCACAGGAAAAGATATCAAGTCTTAGAAATGGAGTTACTGATACAGTTGCATAGAGTTAGGAATAAGCCACAAAATAAAACAAAAATTAGCTTGATAGCATCATTACTGAAAATTCTACATAGTTTTTTCAAGGAAGTGTTATAAAAATGAAATTACAGTAAAAAATGACTTTGAAAGTTTGACATGCTTTGTAACTGTATAACTTTCACATAGTAATGAAGTTAAAGTATATTTTGATTATTTATTTGATAAACTATTAATAAATAATAAAACTGCTCAAAAAAAGAATAAAGTTAGTTTCAAATTTTTCAACATATTTTTTTTTAAAACGCGTGTATCTTCTTTTCCTGTGAGGTGCTTCATATATATATATATATGTATATATATATATATATATATATATATATATATATATATATATATATATATATATATATATATATATATATAAATATATATATATATATATATATATATATATATTCAACATATTTTTATATATATATTTTATATATATATATATATAAATATATATATTCAACATATTTTTATATATATATTATATATATATATATATATATAAATATATATATTCAACATATTTTTATATATATATTATATATATATATATATATATATATTATATATATATATATATATATATTTTATATATATATATATATATATATACATATATATATATATATATATATATATATATATATATATATATATATATATATATATATATATATATATATATATATATATATATATACACAGAGGCATAATCGTTTAGACGCATCAATTTTTTTCTCTTTACCTTAATTTTTTTCTATGAATTGTCAACTGATATGCATACATGTTATTATCAAAATATTGTGTTGTGAGCTAATAAAAATCACACAAAATTTTTTTTTTATGTTTCTTTATTAACATGAGAGTATGTTTGATATACAAAAGTACATTTTTAAATTGAATATATCTATAGACGCAGTCATATTTTTGACATTAAAAGATGGAAATTAGTAATGCGTATGTCCTCCATTACATTGGACCACCTCAAAAACTCTGCCTTTCATTGACTCCACTAGTCGTTGAAGTGTAGTTTGATTCAACTCGGACCATGCTTCAAGGATTTTACACTTTAACTCAGTAACAGTTTTAAATTGTTGTCCGGCTGCTTTAGCGTCATAAACTTTTCTTGCTAGCATTCCCTACACGTTCTTGATTGGATTTAATTCCGAGCTACAAGCTGGCCATTCGAGAACCGGGATGTTGTGGTCTTTAAACCATTTCATAGAATGCCTAGATTAACTTTGCATGATTTAGTAACTTACATATCTTGAGGTAATAAAGGTTTAGTAATCAATAATTATTACAAATTAAAATAAAAGTTTCCATAAAAATATAAATTTGTATGTAAACTTTTATTTTATTTTAGTTAGAATAAGATACAAATTTTTTTTTTAATTTTTTTAAATGAAATAATATGTTAACAGTACTAAAAAACCCCTTTGACATTTTCAATAACTTCATAACTCAAAATTTCATTTATATTTTATAATTAATATATATTTAGTACTGAGAATACTTGTTAAAAATCAGTAGTTTGTTTTGTGTTAAGTATAAATAGTTTTCTTTGATATTTTCTAACAATTTTTGTGTTGCTTTAGATTAAATTAGTTATTTATCATTTATTATAAATTAGTAAAAAATTATTAAATTTATTTTATCAAAGAAAAATGGCTAGTATCCAGCTGTTTTTTATGCTTAATACGTTAACATAATATTAGCTACTGTTTATATATACCCACAAAAAAAACTTTTATGTACACTTAATTTTGCTTATTTTAACATTATGTTATTAGTGATATTAAGTGTCTTTATTATTTGAAAAAGAATAGTGATAATAAAGAAATAAAAAAACATAACTATCTCATCACACATTTTCAACTCTTATTAACCCAAACCTCTTAACAAGCAATATTTAAAACACAATACTTAATAAAATAAAGTTATAATTAACTTTATAATTTTAAATTTCATAGTTAAATAAATGAATAAATGGAAAAATGGAAAAATGTGTTATAAACCCACAATTAACAAACTAATTACAACATCTATTGTTACAATATAGTTTAGTTTATTCAGTAATCGATTATAAAATTACAACAAAAAATTAAAGTCAAAAATAAAAATAAAATGATCGATGAAAAGGGGCAGCACCAGGCTCCTCTGTTCTGACAGTCTTGTGCTGCATACAAAGCAGCTATTATTAGAAAAAAAAGTTTTTAAAGCATTTGACACTTTGCACATCAATAGTCTTTTGCAGGAGAACGTTCCAGTGATATACAATTCAATTTGTAAAAAAATGTTCTCTTTCAATACAATGACTGAATCTTTGTTTATTAAGGGACTGTTACTTCGAAGATTGTAATTCAGTCTAGCTAAGTGTTGCGTCTGTGGCACATAAAAAAAGATCTCATCAATGTTTCGAGTGATTTTGAATTGCTGAATTAGGACGCCCCGTGTTCTGCGGTCTTCAAGAGTTGTTAAATTTCAATGTCGCATTTTAGAAACGGCAAATGCAAACTCAAGATGCGGGTGAATATATATACAATGTTCTCCAAACAATGATACCTCGACTGCGGAATGCTTTTCTCAGCCTACCAAGTACTTGATTGGCCGTTGAGGTTGCTGTGTCAACTTGATTTTTTAGTTTTAAGTCATCTAAGACCATGATGTCAAGGTTGATATATGTCCTTTCATGACTTTCAGTTGTTGATCTGAAAGCCATGCTTTGGTTCAATTCAACAATGCACTACATATACAGAGTCCCCTCAATTTGTGTGGCAAACATCAATGAGGAACTTTATTGAATGCTTTGGCGAAGCCCGTATAAATGATGTTGGCAGCATAACCCAGGTGAATGACCTGTGTCAGGATGTCACGTGCCTCCAGGAGATTGGTTCTGCAGCCTCGTTTGAGTACAAAGCCATGCTGAGCTTTTGAAAGCAATTTATTGACAATGCAATGAGACAACTCAATCGTGAACAATTCCTTCTTGGATTTTGCAGACAATTAAGGTTAGAGATACCGGTCTGTTGTTTGAAAGATCAATTTTGCTTCCTTTTTTAAAACCTGGCATTATATTTGATTTTCTCCATAGATCCGGGACTTCTCCTGTTGCGATTGATTTCTTGAAAATTAGCGCTATTGGAGGGGCAAAAGCAGCTGCACAATTGATTTAGTTTCAACCAGATCTTGAAGCCATATTCAACCTCTTTGACTATTA